CATTTATCTCTTACTTTTTACTTGTTTTTTCTCACAGGTCTTTCTATTTCCATGTGCTGTTTTTACATTTTTTCTGTCTCCTGTTTTTACGTTACCTTATGCATTTCTGCCTCATTATGCAAATAAGATGGGCTGCCCTTCTTTGGTCAGCTCCTCTACTACTGGTGAATAAAAAGGAAGGCGCAAGATCCAGTTTGGTGTCAAAAAACAAGGAATTAACTAAAATAAATGTCCAATCGCACATAATAATTGAGTCCAAAATATTACTCTTAATTGAGTTAATTCTGCATCCCTTTAATAAATTAGTCCAATCCAGCTGAACACATAAACCCATTTACATTTATGAAATATTTGTATTTTCACTGGTATTTCCAATTAGATTTTACTAGACACATCCAAAAAACTTCATTTGAAATTATTTATACTTAAGACCCCCACCAAAGAATTATCTATACGTTATTAATATCTGATAAAAGGAATTAGACTAGGGTGGCAATGTACCAGACTAACTGGAAGAAAATATGTCAAAATCAATATGCAAAATATAAAGTATAAAAAGTGTCAGGCCAGCCCTAGACATCGCTACTTTTATAGTCATTTTTTTAAATTATTGTCAAGCTTCATACGTAAAATATCTCCATTGTGTGTAKCTGAACATTGCACATTCATATGATTTTGAAAAACTTGCTCTGATGGGTTGTAAAGGCACAAAATGACAGAGCAGTGCTGTACCTACAGTATGACCACAGCGTTTTTACAACCACAATTAACACATGGTTATCTTTACACCGAAGTACACAACAGTGCCGATGGGTGATGTCCAATCCAGTGATATACGGTATATAAATGGCAAAAACGCTCAAACGTTTACAAAAAAGCATCCAAATCATTGTTTCAGCTAACAATATTTCACTAAATAATTTAAACCTACAAAGCATGGAAACACTTGATAATATTTTCAAACATACAACATAAATAAATACATTTACAGCAAAATAACACAGCTACTGTACATTGTATTTGAGTAAAGTACAGCAATGGCAGCATCATCCTGTGGCAGACAGGAAAATGATCAAGGTGAAGGGAGAGATACATATGAAGGTAATGCATCCATCTTTTATCTTTTACTTGCTTCTTTCTTTCGGGGTCACTGTTCTCTCCGTGCATGTGTGGGTTTTCTCTGGGTACTCCTCCCACAAACCAAAAACATGAATATTAGGCTAACTGGTAACACAATTATTCTGAACTAAAAGACAGCTAAAAGCGTCCARCAAAGCAAGATTATAGGCAAACAACCAGGATCACATTGATGAGAAACATCAAGATCAAGATCATTTCAAAAATGATCTTGGGCTCATTAAAAATACTCAAAGACAGATGTGAAAATAGATGAGCAAGTCTGATGTTTTTGTTTTTAATTTTTTAACACCTCCATCTTGAGAAATTTAATGATGTAAATTCCTATTCCATTGTGGGGGAGCATCATCTGAGGACGAAGTGATGCAACTGCTGCCAAAGATGCTAACAACTTAGTTTGGTTTTTCTAC